GCTGCCCTGCGTGAGAGTCCGCTTGCCTGCGTGTTTGACAGGTGCAGGATGGAGAAGATGACCACATTCATCAAAGTCTCCAAAACAGGAGCACTGCTCTTCTTTGGCCCCAGGCATCAGTGAAACACAGGAATTCAAGGACGGGGTTCCAGCTGCACAAGCCACAGTCGCTCTTCCTCGAGGGAGGGCACGGATGCTGAAAGCACATGCGCTTTCATGCTCAGACCCAAGGCAGTCTGGGAGGCAGGCATGGCTGTGGGGTGAGGGACTGAGCCCGGGCTGGGCCAGAAAGCTCCCCAAGGATGCTCCAAAAGAAAGCAGTGGAAGCATGACTTAACTGCAGCACCAGAACCGGAGAGAGGACTCCCGAGAGCTTGGGCTTCCGTCATGAGCCCGGACAGTGTTCTCTTTGGCACGTGGCCCTTCCCTTTTCCCCAGGACTTCTTCCATCCCTTTTCTTACCAGAAGAGTAAAAGCCACTAAGGGGGGAGGGCAGAGCAAGTGGAATACCTGCCCTGTCCTTTTCCAGGGGCAGGGCCAGGAGCTCTTTGTGGGCTGCTGTCCTTGCTCTAGTGACAGGGACCAGGAAGGAAGCAGCCAACACTGATGGAAGGGGAGATGTGAGGCAGGAGCCCCCGCTAGAGGAGGATAAACCATCGGCTCACCGGCTTCCTTGCAGAAGCCTTTCCCCATGATGTCCCCGGAGGGGGCCACCTGTCCGCCAGAAAGATGGAATAATACTGCACGTTTCTCAGGTGAGGCTCACGGAATACTGAGGCGTTCCATGGTTTCCTGCTCACGGGTCTTTTGGAAAGAAGATGATGGCAAAAAAGACGAAGGGGGGAAGAGAGAGGGGGAGGGAGGGAGGGCGGGGGGAGAAGTGGTGGGGATTTTCCATTCCCACATACGGTCTTCTGCATGCATCTCTCTGCAGGAACCGTTCCAAAAGCACTCTGGAAAACATGAGGTCAGCAGAGGCCGCAGCACCAACTGCTGTTTACCCATTGTCTGCTGGCAAGCCCCACTGCCCGACCCACGGAGGGGGCACATTCTACCCCGGGCGGGTCCTGCGGCTCTCTTGCCTTCGGCCGTGCAGCTCACATGCCCTGCCCGAGGGGAAGCCCTGCCCGCGGCTGCCCCACGACATGCCCCTCCGGCTGCAGGCTGCCTTCTGCCAAGGCCTGCTGTTTCTGCTCCCACCTCCTGCCATCCCTGCGGCTGGGCGGACGCAGGATGAGGTTGCGATGCTTCTGCAGGGACCCATCCGTCAGTGTCCGCTTAGTTTATTCTAGGAGCTGGCTTCCGGCACAAGGGCTGGGAACTGCTCGCTTTGGCTGCCCTGCCAGGGAAAGAAACATCACCCTCCGGCCAATTAATTTCAGGGGGTGCGAAAAGGGGATTGGGGCCACCAGTGTCCCAGGCCAGTCTTTCCCTTTCCCTTCCTTTCCCTTTCCCTTCCCTAAGATCACTCTTACAATTTCAGAGAAGCAGCTGCCATGGGACTTCGGGCATGGAGTCCCACCACTGATGTCTGAGGTGTTTTCTGATGGTGGAGATGGGACTCTGTGGTCCTCTTGTTGTCCTCTGGGCGCTTTCTAGGAACCATGAGGGACCCCTTCCCTTCCCTTCCCAGGAGGGGAGGGGAGGCGACACAGAGAGTGATCCTGCAAGAACACAGTACAAGTGCCCCTAAACATTTCTTTCAAATGCTCCTCCTGAGCCACGGATCTGCTTCAGTCCAGCAACAGGCAGGCAAACCTGTTGGGCTCTGAGCTGGGCCGGCCACCCCACCCATGTGCCTTCCCACTGTCACAGCCGTTAGCCAAAGCGCCACGGCCGATCCTGACTCCGCGAGGCACTTAGGACAGAGAACGTGGGGTTGCAAAGTGTGTAATTGCATCTTCAATTACTCCTCCAATAACAGTCATAACCCATCCCTATTTCTGCCTGCCTCCCTCAAGAACTCAGCCCCAGGCTCAGCTGCAAGTCAGGACAATGATGATGCACTCAGAAGGAAATACGTGGATGTCAATAGCGAGCGAGCGAGCGAGCGAGCAGGCAAGATGGAGGGCTGCTTGCGGTCCATAGTGTGGGTTGCTCCTGGTAGCATGCAACCGCCTTTCCAACACTCCGGGAGTTAAGTGTCGGCACGGAGCAAAAGTCTACATCCCGCACCCGCAATCTGGCCAGCCGCTTCGCGACTCTTTCCTTAGCCACCATGGCCCACCCATTGCTTTTATTTACCCTTCTGATTCAGCACTTCCCTTACAAATAAATCAAACTTCCAGATGGCTGGAAAACCTGGATCCTGGCTGCAAAGAGATGTGAACGTGCAGGGAAGTGGTTCAAACCCAGCTAGCTAATTGCATGAGAGAGCACACCGGAAGAACCTCTAGCTATTTGCTCAGGAATAGTGTCTCAAAGAGGATTCAGAACTTTTACTGTGCTCGCTCAGGTCAATGTTCAAGCCCTAGAAATATGGAGGGCGTTGGGGGATGCAGATCTGAAGCAGCAAATTGGTCCAGCACGTACGGGCAAATCAGACCATCCTTTCTGGCTTATTTTTCAAACTATGTCCTCACAGGTGGCAGGCCAGAGCCTTTCAACCTTTGCCGCAGCAGAAGGATGCTCCTTCCCTGGTGTATGAGCTGAGCATCAGGATGGCCGAAGCCAGTTGTGAGTTAAGGTAGTCGAAAATGCAACACGGCAGATGGTCAGACCACATATTCTTTTTAAAACCAGGTTGGCCGTGGCCTTCGTGCCAGGGCTGTTTGTCTTTTGCTTTGACCTTCCAGGAATTGCGAAGCAGTGGCAAAACACGGCACGGGTGAGGGGATAGAAATATTAGTCGTGCAAATTAGACCTCCATGCACCAAGAAAGCACGATGCCCAGGTGTTCAAACTGCCTGGCCGCTCTGCCAATTCTGCTGTGCAAAAATGCAGACTCGTCAACCTGGAAGGAGCTGGAGAGGACCCTACATCCTCTCGGGACAGATCTGGGGCAGGAGCGAGGAGAGGAGAAGCTCAGTTCCGCGGGGATGGTGGCCATCCCTCCCCTGACCGGGACAGATTCCAGACCTGCAGCTCGCCCTATCCCACCCACAGCTGCTGCAAGCTGGCGCTTTTCAAGGGCCTTAATCGAGAGCAGGCTGCAGCATTAATAAGTGACTTTAACCAGGTCTGTCATTGTTGGATGAGGGAACGGGGCCCCCGGCCTGTGGGAGGGAGAGGCGATGCAGGAGATGGGGTGGGGGAGAAATAAATCTACATATAATTAACATTTAAGCTCTCTCGGTGTTTTGCAGCAAGGAGAGACGCCAAGAGACTAACCTCAAGAGGGGTCAAGGAGAAACTTTTCCTGAACCTGTTAGTGTAACACTGACCTCCAGTGGCCGGTCAGCCACATCCCAACTGTCTTTCCTTTTCAGTAATTTGTCCGCTCTTCGGAGGTGTTCCAGAAGAGGAATAAAGGGGGAAAGAGTTTGCAAATCAGCTAAAGGAGAGTTTGGGGCTGCCCAGCATCCCCAGTGGCTTCAGCTTCCCAGAATTCTGATGCAGTTTCAAGAAAGGCCCATGCTGAAGGGAATCAAAGTATAAAAGGTTATGGGGAAGAACTAGACAGGGATGGAAGACCTGTTTCCATTTCTGAAGCTTGCACAACTCTGGTTAACAAATGGATCGGGGTGGGGAACGCGTGTGCCTGAGACCAAGGAGAACTCTTGCTGGTGCAGAGAACAGAGAGCATGCTGGCTGGGGATGTGGGGCGATGTAGTGCAACATCTGGGGGGTGGCATGTTGGGGAATCTGAGCCAGATGGATACCCCAATAGGTATAAAACAGCATCTAAAAAGTCTCTATGGAGCTTCAAGCATGATGTTAGGATGCAAAGAGAAAAAGAAAGGAGAGGGAAACTATCAAAAATGCTTGGCAACCAGGTATGAAGGAATCAGGGGAGATGCTCTTGGGGGAAAGTGCAGTGAACGGGAAGTGGCTCAGGGTGTGGGTGTTCCACATGGACTTTGTGGTCCTCTAGCAGAGGACTGCTCCTGGAGGTTAAGGTTGCCAGAGCACAGGCCAGTAACCACTTTTCCCCCTTCCCAAGGTCACTCGTCCAACCTCAGAGAGGCCACCGGTTCTTTCTGAGCCAGCTGCGGGCAGAGGTGAGGAGGAAAATATGCGTGCATCTCCCCAGCTTTGAAGAGAGAGTCTTTTTCTCTGTTCTCAGGCTTGGAACTCCAAAGAATTATTTTGCACCATAGATGCCGCATGGAAACTCACTGAGTTGGACACTTCCTTTTTTACATTAAACAGTATATAGGTATTCTCACTGCCAAACAAACAGATAATTCCAAGCCATTTGGCAAAACACCATGCCAGAGCCCATCTTTTCCTAGGAAGTTCCAAGATGATGCCGTACCTGGGGCATTTGCAGAATGGAAAATCGGGGCCCCCAATCACCTCCTCTGCTCCAACCAGAGAAAGAGGTGCCCTCAACCTCTGAAGGAACTATAAATATGCATGAATGGGGCACTGTCTGGAAATAGTACCCATTGCTCCCTGCACTCCTTCTCAAACCCATGACAGCTGAACCAAATGGGGCCCATTCAGCTCAAGTTTTCACCTGTCTTGAAATGAAAACAGAGCCCCAGTTCACGGGGGCACCCTCAGTTTCTGCAGTATAAAATGGTACTCTGACACAGAGATGGCTTTCTGTTCAGAGCTGTTAATAACGCATGACATGCTTCTGACTGTCTCATGAGTAGAAAGGATGTCTTTAGAATTCTCCAAAATAATTAAAAACATTAATGGGGGAAAACACAGATGTGGTTGGGAGGCAGCCCTGCCGGGGAGCTGTGAGATCTGGTTGCTTTTAGAGCAGAGACAAACTTCTTTACATATTTTTAACCTTTGCGTTGCTCTGTGAGCTGGCCCGAGAACTGGGTTCGAGGCTGGCGCCGGCGCACTTAATTGCTTTTGCGAACATGTCTCTCCAGACTCACCTCCCGCGTCTCATTGTCTTGGATCAAGGTGTACAGTGGAACCACGTGGCTGATTTCTAGGAGCACCGGCGTGGGGCTGAGTTGCTCTTTCCCAGGGCGCCGGCACAGGTGGCAGGTAGACGGGCAGCGCCCCTTCTCCTCGCAGCGGATCTCCACACCCGAGATCAGCTGATCGTCTGACAGCATCTGGGCAGTCAGCAAGCCTGAGAGGTAGGTGATGAACGGCATGGATTTCAGCTCCTTCTTGTTGCCGAGTTCAGTTGTTTCTGGTTTGCGGGCAGAGCAGGGAAAGATAGGTAGGGAGGAGAGCAAAAGGAAAATTAAACCCCGATAAATACGTTCCGTGGTGTGGAGATGCCCCTTTCCAGCACGCCCCGTTCCACCCCCAAGACTCATCACGTGCTCAGTGCCCTCCAGGCTGTACCCCATCTCCAGCTTCATAGGAGCTTGTCTGGCAGAATGAATGCGGAGTAGACGGGGGTGTCGAGAAGCTGCTCTCGAGCTACCGTGGAAACAGTCGAGTTGTGTCAGACACCACAATGACTGTGTTGCAAGAACACACCTGGTCAAGAGCACCTTTTGGGTATTGGATGGGATAAAAATGTATTTAATTGATAAACAACTGTTGTCTCTCCATCAGGGACTTATCAGCAGCATGGAGTCTCTGCAGAAATCTGTTCCTTCTATATTGCACGGGGAGGGGTGTCATTTGTTCATTTCTGCCAAATCAAGGGCTCTTTATTATTTATTTATTAAAAGCGTTCTATCCCGTCCCCTACAAATATCTCGGGACGGCATACGTAGAATAAAGCAAGCCCTACAACATCTGACCATCAATATACTAAAACCCCAGTGAAAATCAATTAAACATTAAAATACCGGGAAAATAAAAAGGGTTTTGCCTGATGCCAAAAAGAATATAATGTCAGTGGCAGGCGAACCTCTCTGGGGAGCGTGTTCCACAGTCGGGGTGCCACTGCAGAGAAGGCCCTCCTCTGGGTACTCTCCCTCCTGATGTCCCTCAAGGAGGGCTCCTGGAGCAGGACCTCCGCCTCAGATCTCAAGGGGTGGGAAGGCACAGAGGGAAGCAGGCGCTCCATTTTAATGGGGGACACTGTTGTTGTCCTAGTCAACTACTGCAAACGCTTGGAAAATGGCTGTTTTGTTCAGGGACGCCAGCGAAAACAATGGTGGCAGACCAGCCAAGCATTGGTTCCAGCGAGCAGCCGCCGCTGGCCAGGAGAACCCTCCACAAATGCACGTGCGAAGCCTTACTAGCCAAAGGCTGCTGCTGCTATGTGGCAAGGTCACAGTTCAATGTCCGAATGCTCAAGATCTGATAGCGCCCGCCCACCTGTATTTCCGATCGTACGGCCAACAACCCTTGCAGGCACGATCAAGCCTTTGTGAATGGAATCCACAGACGGCCTTATTTTTCACGAAAAGCCCAAACTGAAGATTTCTGATTAAGTAACTCCATCTGAGACCAAGCCATGCCTTCCTCCAACTGGTTTCCTGACAGCCTGGGCCCTAAAATTGTGCCCTGACCTAGGATCTGTGTTTTGCAGCTCCATCTTTTCTACTCTTCAGGAAAATGTACTATATCCTCTCCTCAGACATCCTCCTCTTCCCACCAAAATGGGAAGAAGTTGCTTTTGGCAAGGGTTGCTTCGAATGACATTTCGGAAGTCATCTCGAGGCAAGATTTAGCAATCCAGCACTGGGGTTGCCAATTAGGGAACAAGACAACAATAAACACCAAGAGATTAATGGAAGTTTCATTCATCTCCAAAGGCTTGAGCCGGCTCCCCGGAGCCTCAAACACTCAGCCGGACTGATGGTGCAGGCCAACACACAATGGATCAAAGGTGGAAGATGGCACGGGTTCCAATAAGCCAATTTTTCCATGCAATTTGAGAAGGGCTGGTTATTAAGATGAATGAGGCAGGCCTATGAAGAAGACATCTCCACATGGCGAAGGAGAAATACAGATGCAGAAGAGGAGAGAGAAGTAGCACTGGACTGAGTTACCAAAGGGGATTCAACTCTGCTGAGATAGCTTTAAGCACCCAAAGGCACTTTAAAAAATGACAGAAATCAAGTTGTTCAGAAGATCAGGAGGAAACAAAGATACATCCTCCATCCTCCCACTGTAGCAGAACCGGGGGTTTTTCTTTAAAACACACAGACATTGATTCAGCAAACAAAACTCAAAGCAAACCTTGCTTTCCCCAGTGTCCAGACTGAAACCTGCATTGCAGGCAGCAAGATGAAGTGAGAACCGGGGCAGTGATGAGCTGAGGGAAAGACCAATGTGAGACGAGAGACTATCAAGAGGATTAGACCTGGGACACAGCATTAGGATACAGAAAACTGTGCTCCTTTCCATTGTGGGCTTATGGGTAGGCACCACAACCCAGTGTTCATACCAAAATTAAGCTTGGCCTGCGAGAGTCAGGGAATAAGTAACTTTCCAGTTACTCTCCACATCCAGGCACAGAAAATGGGCTCGGTGAGAGCTTGTGGCTGAATTCCCCCACCATCCCTTTTTAAGAGAACTCCTGCAGTGTACTTGGGGGAAATGGCTTATTTGCTGCCTGCAGGGGAAGGGCACCTGATGGTGGAACAGTCACATTGCTCCCCAAAATGGGTGAGACAGAGTTCATTTCTAGAGCTGATTTCTAAATCTGCTCCTACAGATTAGGAAGGCACAACAGATGGGCCACTGGAATGTCACAATAGGAACAGAAAGAGGCCTCTAGGAAAGAGCAAACCTCAAAGGGCGCAAGGGTTCCATATGCATGAAGCCTCAGGATCTAAACCTGCAACTTAGTTTCACTTGCGATTCGCTGGGTTGCCTTAAATCAGGATTCTATGGATTTCTGCTGCCCTCTAGTGGAGCTATGTGGTGACTGCTCCTGGTCAGGGGACTTGGGAGATGCTGGTGGCAAGAGAAGAGGCAGAAATAATTCCTTTGCAATCACATTGACCCCCAAGAAGGACTCATTCGTGCTTCCCAGAACCCCAGAGGCCTTTCAAAGCAAAGGTCCTCAACTGTTCAGGGTCGTGCGTCCTAAACAACAACCGGGACTTGCAACTCCTTGTTTTTGAGGAAATGTCTGAAAACAAGCTTTTGGAGTGTCCTTGACACATAAGAGGGTTAAAGGAAAGCTTTTTGTGGCTTTCCTTCTATGCTCAAGACAAATTAAGGCTGCAGACTGAGGTATAAAATGTGGGGTGAACCTGTGCAGAAATGGACACTAGTCATATGGCTGGAATATGTCACCTAAGTGTAACGGGGAAAGGATTGACGACACATGTAGGCTAAACGCCAGCTGACTCCCACCCTTCTTTCCAAAGCAGTGTTGTTTGTGTTTCTTTAAAGACAAACACAAACGTAACTAATGTAAACCATGTAATAACTGTGCAAGCAGTCCTGAAAAACAAAAACATGAACATGAGGGAAAGGAGGCAAGAAAAAACAAAAACTAAAAAACTAACAGACATCAAATGAGAACCAGCACAGGGTACTAGCTAGTCTGGGTTCCATCCTTCACACATTCAAAGCCACAGACCTTCCTTTATTGACTGAAGCATTTTCCAGAAGCACACTCAGAACGGATTTCTGAGCATGTTTGTTGACCCCAACTGAGTATTTACTTCTAGGAACTCTCCAAATGCTCCATCCTTCTGGGAGGAGCCTCCAGGAAAGGAGTATGCCTCGTCTCTGCACACTGATCCTCTAATTGGGCCGCCCTCCCCTGCTGAGATCACGTCATGAGTTGTACCTGCCTTGTCTGTCTCTGAGAAACGCCCCTGATCTGAGCCCCTGTGCAGTAACTGGTCATGTGCTGGAGCATCTGGAGAGCCTGGCCTTGAGATAAGCACCTCCGCTCTCCTGATCTCAATGACTGACACTGGTCCGTATCCGTGGCTCTGTTTCAGCTCTCTCTCCTCCTCCACAGAATCCCAAATACAGACCTTGAGAAAGCATGCCAAGTGCAAGTGCATCCGCTCGCTTTCCCCAACCTGGAACCCACCTATAACTCCCACCCTGTTTCTCGTAGTCCAAGTTTTCAGAAAAGAGTTTATATGCTGTTCTTTGGGATGTCGGGGATTGAAAATCGGACCTTTGGCATTCAAACCATCCAGCCTATCAATGCATTATGATCCCCCCCCAAAAAAATTTGGCCCTTAAATAAGTTAATCTGTTTTTTTTAAAGCTCCAGTTCTCCTGGGGAAAAGACCACAGTGCGTAAGTTAGTTCAGCTTTTACTGAACAGTTTTACAGCTTCCAAGCCCCCATCAAAATTTGCAGAGTGGCCTGATGGAAAATGTCTTCCTTGCAGATATTTGCAAGATGGGTCTCAGATCGGTTGGGAATGGCAGGCTGAGAACTAGTGGGAAGCACAGATGACTTTCTCACGGGCTTCTCAGGCTGGCCAGGACACAAATGTCCACAGTGACCGCTGGATACTCTTGACCTGGTTTCTACCACCAGTTTGGCAATGTCTTCACACACGTCTCAGCTCTCGCCTCTTCCTGACTTCACCTTTGCCTCTAGCCCTGCTGCACCTTGCTGAGTTCTCCTCCTGCCTCCATCACTTCTGGTCCAGGTGTCCCAGTCAAGGATTCCTTCTGCTAATGCCTTGGAGATGACGTGCTCTTTGCTACCATTATACTGCATTGGTCTGTCAACCCACAATCCACAATTTAAGGAGCTGTGATTGGTGGGGTCTTATGCAAGAACAGAATAACGAAGTTGAATATCACATTTTGTGTAAGCAGTGACTTGCTTTGTTGGCATCTATTGCAGAAGAGTTTCAGATTTCAGGTTGTGAGGACATTCGACACAACACCTTTCCATGGAGGGCTCTTTAATATCCATGGCTATGCATATTCGTAATTAACTTCTTGTCTCTTGGAAATAACACAAAGATTGCCATGAATATATTCCCCATCGCCATGAATATATTCCCCATGTCCCCTTGAAAGCTAAAATACTAGTACTACAAAATTAGAAAGACGAATAATCGTTTGCAGTAACACAAGATGCCGAGGACTTGATTTCTGAACAGGGAGTGTTGAGGCTTAATTTACTACTGGACATACACACGGATATCTGAGCTGCCTTCCTTGAATTCTGTGCACAGTACTTCTTAGGAACGGTTGTTTATTTTGCTATATGTAAAACATATAAGGGGATAGATAGTTCTTGCAAGAGCTTCATTCAGATTTCAGGTAAAAAATGCAAGTCTTATCAAGTTCTCTGGTTTGGTTTGGTTTAGCTTTTTGAAACTCACAAGAAACTTTAAAAAAATGAAGTTATTTAACGTTAAATACCTGGCATCTTTCCTGCCTTCTCTCTTCTTCTTCCTCTGATGTTCTCCTCCACTGAAAAGAGCAACTTGGCTGGCTACATACCCTCTCTCCCTCCTCCGTTTGCAAGGGCCATCCTTCTTTCCCTCTTTCTTCCCTTATCTTATCCTGGTCTGTCTTTCATTTTCATCCAAAGCAAGTCTCCGCAGGGGAGAGGGTGAGAAGGAAAAACTCTGAATTGTTTTGGCCATTACTCAAAAAGCGGGCAAGCAGGCATGTTTTCTCCTTTTCATCCAGGTCTTTGGAGGAAAGGGGTTCACATTTGCAGGAGGAGGAACATGGAACTATTTGGCTGATAGTCAGTTGTTTCCAAAGCTTCGCATACAGAGTCCATCCAAGTTTGCTCATGGGAGACGAGCAGAGGAGCTAGAAGTGTCCAGCAACAGCTCTTTATTTCGTCCCTCTCTTAACAACAGACAGACGGACAGATGGATGGAAGAGGGAGGGAGATCCGGTCTTTGCAAGTGCCAGGGTTTGCCAGTCTCAAAGGCATGCATGTCATCTGAGCACGGCTCATTTGAGCATGGGTCTTCAACAGAAAAGATACGCATCTTCCTCTTCTTGAAGCTTCATTTCTACTTTTTAGGGAATACATTCAGGGAACAGGAATGCCGTTCCCCCATTCCAGCTCGGTTTGGCCAATGCCAAAGCAAACACACCAACCAGCACTGGGCTTAGGATGGGAGAGATGAGGTAGGCCACACCCGAGAGCTCTAACCAGGGGGGCGGGAAGACCGGCTCTGGACCACTGGAAACATCTTCCACTTGCAGACAGCAGCTGCTGCTTCCTCGTAAAACAGAGAGGCTTTCTTTGCAGCCCTATATATGTGCATTTCCCCGTCACCCAGAGCTCAGTGGGACTTGCTGCTTGGGAAGTCTGCATAGCCTTGCCTTTCAGGACTAAAATCTCTCCACTAAACAAAAGTGGCAGAGAGGATGGTCAAGGTGTGGATTCAGAACCTTAGGTCTCTCCTTGCTGATGCCAGAGTGCAGGACACGGAATAATCAGTTGAAGCTGTGACAACCCAGATTCAGGCTGGACATCAGGAAAAGCTTCCTCACTGCCAGAGCAAAATGACAGTGGAACCAGCTGCCTGGAAAGGTGGGGGGCTCTCCCACACCGGAGACATTCAAGGTGAAACTGGACAGCCATGGTGGCAAACCAGAGGGTCCCTCAGGTAGGATGGACGGAAGACCTCCACCTGCCCAAGCTCCACAGAAACTGGAGTTCGTAGGCATGTCACCTCTGGCCAAGAGGTGGCATGTAACCAGCAGGGCTACTAGCCACGGATAGCCCAGTCTTCCATGAGCTGTCCAATCCCCCTTTAAAGCCAGCCAGGCTGGTGGCCATCACCGCTTTTCATGGCAGCAAATTCCATATTTTCACTATACACTGTGTGAAGAAGTCTTCATCTGTTCTAATGCCCCCACCCATCAGCCTCATGGGATGATCTGGGTTCAAGTATTACAGGAGATGGAGAAAAATGTCCCCCTCTCTACTTTCTATGGAGAAACAGAAGGGTTTCCGGTAGGCAAAGATGTCAGGGGTGTGTTTTGTCTCCCGGTTTAATCTGTGTGCAAAATATAAGGAAAAGTGGCCCCGAAGCAGAGGAAGGAGGTGAACATCAGCAGAAGAAATGCCACTGATTTAAGATGATATACCATGGGCAGAAAGTACCAAGGACTTGAAACCACTCCGGATAAAGGCACAAGAAGCAAGCACAAAAACCAGACTGCAGCTAAACATTAGCCAAACAAAAATCGTGCTACAGAACTTTGCTGTTAGTATTGAAGAAATCAGGACTGCGAAATATTTCACATATCTTGGCTCAGTAACCAACTCCAAGGGAGACTGCAGCCAAGAAATTCAAAGATTTGGAAGGACAGTACTGATGGGAATAGGAAAGATTATCAAAAGAATGTTTTCCTAGAGACCAAGGTCAAGATAATCCAAACTATGGTACGCCCGATCACAGTGGTTTGGGTGTGAAAGCTGGACAGTGAAGAAAGCTGAGAGGAAGAAAATAGCCGTGTTCGAAACATGACGCTGGAGTGTTTTGTGATTTTCCTGGACAGACAGAAAGACAAACAAGGGGGCCCTGTAACAAATCAAGCCTGAGATTTCTCTAGGAGCACAAACGGCAACACTGGGGACACATCAGGAGCAGGTGAGACTCCTCACGAGAAGCCCATTATGGTAGGGAAGTCAAAGGCAGCCAGGGAAAGGAAGAGCAAATATGGGATGACCCGACGCCACCAAGGAAGCCACAGCCTTAAACTTAGAAGAGCTGAATGGGGTTGTCTTGGACAGGCCGTTTTGGAGTGCTTCACCCAAGGGGCCACCAGGAGTCAGAGATGACTTGACAGCACAGGACAAGCACAATAGGAAAAGAGATGCTGACATTTTAAAAGCGAGACACACCTCTGTTTTCTGGTTTTCATTTTGGTCTGGTGCTGTAGAAACCTACGCTAATTCGAAGCCCTGAAATAAAAGAGACCGCTTTCCGTCTCTCTCCTACATGAAACGCAAAAGATATTTGGACAGGAGTTGGGCGGAGCCGATAGGACTACAGGGTCCAGTTTATGGTCAATACCGCACTCCGGGTTAAAGATGGGAAAGGAGAAAAAAACGATCCCCGTAAAGCCAAGTGCTTATACGCCTGACAAAGCTCTACATGAGGATTATCCAAGTCAAAAGTAAAAGATCGCGATGCAGGCACCGATCTGCGCGGGCAGGAGACCCAAGCCCACCGCGCCCCCGCAGGGCTGTCCTGCGCCTCCAACCCCGCAGCCCCGGGTGGCTCCGCCCGGGGACGCGCACGCCGCGGAGGGGGGGAAGCGCGGGTGCGCCCGCCGGAAACTACCACTCCCAGGGCCGCCCGCGCGCGGAGCCGCGGGCTGGGGCGGAGCCGGGGGAGGGCTGTGTGGCAGCGGGCGGCTCGCGCAGGCGCGGGGGGCGGCGGGGACAAAGGCTTGGTGCGGCTGCAGATGCGCGAGGAAGCGGCAGGTAGGGAGGGAGGGGCTCGCCTTCGGGGGCCGCGGGCAAGCGGGGGGCGGCGCGGGGCGGGGCGGGCCCCCCGCGCGCCCCCCGCCGGCCCGCGGCGCGCCTTCCCGCGTCCTTGCGCGCCCGCCCCACCCCGCCCCCTGTGCAGTGCTGCGCGCGCTCCTCTGCAGGCACTCGCCCGCGCGCACGGGGCAGGGGGCTGCCCGAGCCGGAGGAGGGAGGGGGCGCGCCCCGGTCCGTCCCGGGAAGCGGGGATCCGCGGGGCGGGGCGGGGCGGGGCTGCCGGACGCGCGCGCGGGCCGAAGGAGACGCGGGTCCTGGCTCGGGACCCGTGCGCCCGCGCTGCGCAACGCGGGTGCGGGCGGCGGTGCCCGGCCAGACCGGGAAGCACGGGGGTGCGCGGCCACTTTGCCACCGCATCTGCCTGGCCCGCCGTGGCTAGCAGCTGGCCCCCGGAGATAGCCCCTCGCCCCCCACAGGGACTAGCGGCATGGCCCTGGCACCCTGGGAGCCGTTCCATGCTCTGCGGCGCGGCCTGGAGAACTCGCCGGGCAGCCCAGTCGTCCCAAGCGACGAGGAACGCCCCTTCCGCAGAGGGGGAGCGCTGGCCCCGCACGCCTCTGCCCAGCACGAGCACAAGAGATGAATGCCCACTGCACCGGGCTGGCCTCCTAGTCCCGAGGGAGAGCCATTCCTGGCTTGCAAATTCTCACAACTGCAACAACCTCTCCTGGAGGATTTCGGGGACGGTCGCCTCGCAGACTGGCTTCCCTCACAGGGCTGTTGTGAGGATTAAAACATGGAGGAAGGGAGAACAACACGAGCGAGACACAGCAATACAACATCAGCACTATAGTTTTCCCCTCACACACGTCTGGAGTACCCTGCCAAAGTGTCGGCACAGTTACTGTTCAAAAATGATAGTTTGTGCCATTATATGCTAGATACACAAGATCAGTTAAGTAGCACTACTGACTGTTTTCTTTTCTGAAATACTGTTCAGGGGCTGTAGCATTTCCCCCTTTTGCTTGCTTTATGGCATGGCTCATGGCTGTTTTTGTATTGCACAATAAAAAATAAATAGAAAACGTTGCCACGGGCCAAGTGGTTCACAGGAGTTGTACGTGGTTATTTGGCGCATAGGCTGAATTTAAAGTTGGACACAGAAATGAAGGGGTTGCGTCCAAGACTTGGGTTGGAGGAAGGTAAAGACAGGAGGAGCAGAAGAAGCCAACCGAACTTTACACTGGATTCCTTGTTGTAAAAGCACACTCCTGTATTCATCCCCATGATAAGCTGCAGAGCAGGAAATTCCGGGGAAGGAAGCCAAGAGGTCGTGTGGTCGCAGAATTAAAAAGTGAAAGTGAATATGGAGAAACTGAGCCGAGGTGGCTTCAAGTCAAATGGCTTCAACGCTTCTCTTTGGGAAGCCGGCAGACTTTTCACCACCCCTTCTGCTGCTTTTTAGTGCAACAGAGAAGGGATGGAGGAGGGTGAGGTGTTGACTTGCCCCAGATTTCTATGGCTGGGAAGTATCGGCTGGGGAACGTTGGGCTCCTTGGTGGATAATGGGATGTTTTGAAGCAAGTCTCTCCTCTAACGGCTCCTTTTTCACAACAAATATCTGGAAGGGTTCTTTGCGGTTCCTTGGTCTTGTGAGTGGACCACTTGGGGGTCTTTACCTGTGGGTGTGTTGTCCACTCCTAAGTGCGTTTGCCTCATCCGCATGCTAACGGAGTCCTGCTCTTCCATATCTGCATGGCTTGCATGGTTCTACAAAATGGTCTTCCAGCAATGACACTGTCCACGGTTCACTGATGCCGGAGGACTGGAAGCCCCGTTTGAGGGGTTTTGGCTGAGCTGTTGGTGATCCCCACTTGCGTGAAGAGGTTTTTGGCCCAGGAGTGACCCTGAAAGCTGCCTCTGAGATAGGCTAGGGTGTCCTGGTGTTTGGAGAGCCACATGTAGAGTTGGTGTACATTTTAACACCGGGTTTTCATCCATCCCTTCATTCTGATATATCTGCCTTTATGTTGACTGATCAGAACTATGGTTCCGGGTTGAACTGGTCAGGGTGTGGTGGGATGAGCCACAGAAGTTAGCCGTGGCCCAGGCAGCCATGTGGCAGAGAAGGGAGTCACATGGGGCAGAATTCCCTGCAAAATCTGGCTACTGCTATTCTGCTGCAGCCTTTCCATTTCCCTCTGCGAACTCTTGCAGGTCTTCGCAACTATGCTTTCCCTTTGGCAATTCTTCCCGTCCCGTCCTGTCCCTTCCACAGTTCTCTCAGAACACAGCAAATATTGTTCCTGAACATAGGCCTGAAGAAAGAGGTCCTCCTTTGGGGGTTCTAGAAGGGCATAGATGAACTAAAGACTTCCATCCAGTTCTGGCACCACACGTTAAGTTTATTCCTGATGCTCTGGAACGTTTCAGGAACCCAAGTGCAAAAGAAGTGGCCTAAACAGATGTAGTTGTGATGTGCCGTCAAGTTGTCATTGGCCTGTGAGGGCCCCATGAATGAGAGTTCTCCAAAATGACAGCCCTGCTCAGCTCTCCCAAGTTCTAGGCTGTGGCTTCCTCCATGGATTCAACCCATCCCATATTTGGTCTTTTCTTCTGCCTTTGACTTTTCCTAGCAGGATGGTCTTCTCCAGGGAGTCTTGCCTTCTCATGATGTGTCCAAAGTACCATGTTTCCAGTGCATGAATTCCCCATCCAGACATTGTGATTAGAAAGAGAACAGTTTAGCTGGTCTCTACCTTAGTCTGCAGAGTACTGTTTATATTCTGGTGCATCCTAAGTCAGTTTTCAAACTCAAATTGTATCGGGTGCTTTGTCCTTATACAAGCCAACATCTTGAAGGGAAATTAATTAGGAAATAACTCTCTCTAAACGTGCTTTTATAGGGTAAGAGAGAAGCAAGGCAGCCGTGACAAGGAAATTATACTCCAGCAGTAAGGGTTTCTTTTATCTAAATTGGAGCCCAACTAGAAAATTGCACCCAGCCAATATAACTCATGCTCAGTGTGAAAGGAGATGAAAATCATACAATGTTGATGTGTCTAAGACTTATGTTTAGATTTAAATTTCTCCTGATTGAAAGCCAAGTGCAGCTTGGGAAAGGTTTGAATCATTATTCCTCTGACAGTAAAAATACCTCTTGACATTATTGTTGCTTGTAGTATCCAGAGTAAAACTGGCAATGATGATGGAGGGATTCTAACTTCGATCACTGACGGTAACATCGCTCTCATTTTTCTCTCTCTCTGTTCTCAGGGAATTGCACACTGAGGAAACATTGCAAAGCCTGTTATGATTCTGGAGCAAATCAACTGCACCAATTGAGGTAAAGACCAAGTTGCCTGTAAAGTCATCTCAACATACCATATGGACGTGGTGGCGCTAGTTAGGTTTCACCAAGCATAAAGTTGCTTTGCTTCTCGAAGTAGCTTCAGCTATTAGGCATTATGGAAATAGCACCAACAGTCAATTAAATAAAACTATCTGCCATTTAGAAGTAGAGTTCTACTGAATGCAATAAATACAGGCCACAAGTATTCCTCTGCTAGTTCTGTATTCCTCTGCTAGTTCTGTAGATGTTTGCTATACCTGCTATCAAAACCCTTTTCACTCACTCCTCATCAATAGCTGATTGCAACGTACAAAGGCACGAGGTCCCCTTTCCTTGGCTTTCATGGGTTTCAGGAACGCCCAAGCCCAGCTTTGCAGGGAGAAATGCCTGGGCATCCTGTGAGAATTTCTTTGACAAAAAGCAAGCGAGCGGACACCACATCTGGAAGTGGATTTCCAGTGACTTGGATGTCTTCTTGCATCTAGGAACTCTAACCGTAAGATTTTGTTAGTTGCAGGTCGGGGAACCATCACCACTGAAATGCAAAAGAACCTGTCTGTATTGTTACAGGCAGTGGGGAACTCATGCGAAACAAAGGGAGCACAGCCAGTTCCAGTCATGTTAGAGAGAACAGCCTTCTTCTTGACATGCTGGGCTTCTAAGAAGTATTTCAGTAGAGGAGGGCCTTTGTAACATCAGCTTCTCATCTGCTTTTCAAAAATGGAATAGTTCAGAGGCCGGTTTGGATCTCAAAACATGCAGGGATCCCATTTGGCACAGAAAAAAGTTGTCTATCTGATCCACATGTCTTTGCCATGTTGGTTGACTTCCAACCTTCCATCTCACTGAATATAAACTACCGGGCTGTGTGCCATGGGCCAGGTAAAACGGACAGCATCTAAAAAGGCTACCTTTGGTCGTTTTGAGGTCAGTTCCTGGCAAAAGACTTGTGAGGTATCGTTCCGGGTTCCGGATGATGCACAGAAAGGTTGCATGCCTGGAGAATGGCGGCCTGCCTATTTCTAGTGCTCTTTGCACCACTTCTGCATAACTAGGGTCTGAATCTTTACATTTTTGCACTTAGGCTTCTGTTGCCTTTATTATTTCATCTTATTTGCAAGCCTGTTATGTAATGCCAGGCACTGCATATCCCCTTGGGAAATGTCTTTTCCAGTTGCATCCTTGCACTCTTCATCCTTAGCTGCTGTATTCCTCCTTCATTAAGAACTTGTCATTGTCAATTTCAGCTTGTTGGACAGAGATACTACCATTTTCCACTAGGGTTACGCGATTTGTACACAAGAAACAAACACCCTTTATTTACTATTGTTCAGTTCCATAGTTTCTTCAAATTCTCTTCCTTCCAACCCTCGTTTTTCCCACCGTTATTATATGCACCATAGCTGATTCCTTTCTGTAAAGCATTTGTTCCAAGAACGACCATGTGTCGCTGTTTATGCTGGTGGGTTTTTGTTTGTTTGTTGCATTGTTTTAAGCAACAATGTGGTAGAACAGGTGGATCAGCTGTTTAGAAGGCTTGGATCTGTGTAAACTTAGATATGCACCGATTTTGGACTTTGCGGTTTGCACAAATATTCTTGCAGCCCCCCCCCCCACACACACACACCTCCAAGGGCCTTGACACAGCTTGCATCCTCTTTGCTTTAAGAGAGGATATTTGCATGCCGGCTTTACTTGTGCCAGATATAACCGGGGCTGGCAGATGAAATGAAATCTGGAGACTCAAGCTGGGAAAATCAACCGGATTCTCCCTCCCCCAGAGGGATTCCTCACCCATCTCTGCTGTGCAGAAAGACAATTGGTCCCCGTAACTCAGCACCTTGGAGGCAGCTTTGCAGCAGCATTCCATCCTCTGCCACCCGACTGTTGCAAGTGGGGGGGGGATTGAATTGGACGTACGTGCCCCTTCACTGGGTGTCCCCCCCTCCTTTGCTGCACAGACAATCTCTGTCGTGTCACATAATAGCTTAATGATACTGCTCTCTCTCAATGGCTGGTTGCTTTGACGAGCGCGCTGCTGGAATCCCGCAGAGGCCGAACGGAACAGAAAGAAAAGAGGGCTGGGGACGCGTAAGGGACGCCGGACGACAATGTAGCATCATTAGGTTTCCTCTAGATGGACAAGATAGCTGGTGGTTACAGGGCCATTAAGCTACTGTTAGAGGGGGGAGGTGCAAGCATGCTCCCAAGAAGGTGGCAGCAGGGGGGGGGGTAGTCTAGACAATTCTGGCGCATGGATTTTGCCATAAAACAACAAAAGCACACACAGCGCTGATTGTGTCCTACCGCCTCATGAGTTTGGGCATGAGTAGTGCCCCTGCATCATTCTTTGGGGTGACTAATCTCTACGGCTGACGATCACACCCACCTTGCGTCCTCTGAGCTGAACCCCCCCCCTCCCCAGTTTCCAAGGTCGGCACAGCGCTATCTGGCCTGGGTTTCTTTTGGCAGCCAATCATGGAGGGTTCTGATTTTCCACGCCTGGCATCCTACGGATTGTACCACCCCACAAGGGGAAACATGAGGTTGCCTTAGATGGAGTGAGGCTGGCAGTGGCTCTCCAGGGTTTTCTGCACATCTGCTTTCTCATTTCAGAGAAGGTGGGGATGGGACCCTTGGATGTCGTACAGTCAAGCAGGTGTTGAACAACCGAGCTGCGGACCCCTTCTCAAATGCTAAGCCCTCGCTCCAGGTGTTCCCTTCCTAGTTGATCAGGCGCTAATTCACAACACTCATCCTGCCTTCTTGCCAGCAATCCTTGGCCAAGCTTTTCTGCTTCTCTAGAATTCAAGCACCCAGAGAGCTCCTGCTAGTTCTGAGCTTGTTTCTGATCATCTCTTTTCGTCTGTTTTTTGACTTTCTCATGCATCAGCGCATGTCTGACAGAGACCTGGGTGCGGCACAAGGCGGAGGCTCAAATATACCGAAAGACATTTTCTTATGCCCATTTAAGCCAAGGGGGGGAAAAGGCCCACAAGCCTCAGTTTCTTCAGAGTTGGAAGCCTGTTTCCTGTCTAAAGATTCCTAAGATTGCCCCCAAAATGTATCTTGCCAAATGTGTCTGGCCCACGTGAGGTTCAGGCCTGTTTAACAGCAAGGGTGTGGTTTTAAATGCAGTGCACATGGCTTCCTTTAGTGTGATTAAGGTAAATACCTATTTGAACAGTGTGTGTGTGTATGGTTGAACTTCAGCTCACACCAAGTGTTCAGGTTGTCATGGCCTGAACAGCTGAAGAAATACTTAGAAGATATGGAAGTGACATGGCATTTTTACGATATTGTATTTCTGTCACACCATTGTTCCCTTCCTGTGAGGGACATAGCCCTAGCTTGCCCTCACAACAACAACCCTGTGAGGTAGGCGAGGCTGAGAGTAAGTGACTAATGTCTCCCATGGACCTTCTTGAGCAAGCAGGGACTAGAACCCAGGGTTCCCAGATCCCCAGTCCAACACTTCCATCTCTGAACCTCATGAGTGTGAGACTCATATGGGATACTTGTTGATGGTATGGTAAAGCAACTCTCTTCCCCACCCTCCAATATATCCAAATCTTAAAATGCTATGTGGGTACTACCATCTGTCTTGGACTTAAGAGCTAGATGGCTTAAGATCTAGAAACTTGACTGGACAATTGCAAGAACCAAACTTAACAGGATGACAAGCCAAAAATGGCGCCCTGAAAGAATCAGCCTGAGTTGTGCTCACTGGCTCATTCGTTCATTCAGTTGCTCGTTCATTCGGTGGCTCACTCATTGGTCGGCTCGCTCGCTCGCTGGTCGGTCCGTTCGTTGGTTTTGGCTGGGCGAAGTGGCAGCAATTAGAAATGAGTTTCGTATCCCTTTCTCCTCACAGGCAGGACCAGAAGGGCCTGGAATCGATGCAACCCGGCTCGCCCGGACTGCAGGGCCATGGCGTCTGCGCCGCACCTCAACTCGGACGCCCTGCGCGAGGTCTTGGAGTGCCCGATTTGCATGGAGTGCTTCACCGAGGAGCAGCTCCGGCCGAAGCTGCTGCACTGCGGACACTCCATCTGCAAGCAGTGCTCGGAGAAGCTTCTGGCCAGCAGCATCAACGGCATCCGCTGCCCCTTCTGCAGCAAGGTCACGCGCATCACCAGCCTGGCCCAGCTGGCGGACAACCTGACCGTGCTGAAGATCATCGACACGGCCGGGCTCAGCGAGGCGGTGGGCCTCCTCATGTGCAAGGCGTGTGGGCGGCGGCTGCCCAAGCACTTCTGCCAGAGCTGCGGCCTGGTCCTGTGTGAGCCCTGCAAGGTGGCCAAGCACCTGCAGCACGGACACGAGGTGGTGGCCATCAAGGAGGCGGCGGACGAGCGGCGCAGGGAGTTCGGGGCCCGGCTCGGGCGCCTGCGCGAGTTCATGTGCGAGTTGCAGAAGAGGAAGGCGACTCTGGAGGGCGTCTCCAAGGACCTTCAGGCCAGGTCCAAGGCGGTCCTGCATGAGTACGGCAAGGAGGAGCGCAAGGTCCAGGACGAGCTGGCCCGCTCCCGCAAGTTCTTCACCGGCTCCCTCTCCGAGGTCGAGAAGGTGAACAGCCAGGTCATGGAGGAGCAGGCGTACCTGCTGAACATCGCCGAGGTGCAGATCGTGTCGCGGTGCGATTACTTCCTGGCCAAGATCAAGCAGGGAGACATCGCCCTCTTGGAGGAAGAGGGGGACGAGGAGGAGCCCGAGCTGATGAGCAGCCTGCCCAAGGAGCTGACCCTGCAGGAGGTGGAGCTCCTCAAGGTGGGCCACGTGGGGCCGCTGCAGATTGGACAAGTGGTCAAGAAGCCACGGAGCATCAACCTGGAGGAGTCGCTGATGGAGATGGCGGCGGCGGCGTCCGTGTCCTTCCGGGAGCCGGACATGGCCGAGGACGAGGCCGGCTCCTTGCCCAGCTGCCCGTCGCCCGCCAAGCCCCGGATGCCGGAAGCAGCCACCAGCATCCAGCAGTGCCACTTCCTGAAGAAGATGGGCTCCAAGGGCAGCACGCCGGGCATGTTCAACCTGCCCGTCAGCCTGCACGTCACCCCGCAGGGGGAGGTGCTCGTGGCAGACCGCGGCAACTTTCGGATCCAAGTCTTCACGCGCAAGGGTTTCCTCAAGGAGATCCGCCGGAGCCCCAGCGGCATCGACAGCTTCGTGCTGAGCTTCCTGGGGGCGGACCTGCCCAACCTGACCCCGCTGTCCGTCACCATGAACTGCCACGGGCTGATCGGCGTGACCGACAGCTACGACAATTCCGTGAAGGTGTACACCATCGACGGGCACTGCGTGGCCTGCCACAGGAGCCAGCTCAGCAAGCCCTGGGGCATCACCGCGCTGCCCTCGGGCCAGTTCGTGGTGACGGACGTGGAAGGAGGGAAGCTCTGGTGCTTCACGGTCGACCGCGGGGTCGGGGTGGTGAAGCACAGCTGCCTGTGCAGCGCCGTGCGCCCCAAGTTCGTCACCTGCGACACGGAAGGGACGATCTACTTCACGCAGGGCCTGGGGCTGAACCTCGAGAACCGCCAGCATGAGCACCACCTGGAGGGGGGCTTCTCCATCGGCTCCGTCGGGCCGGACGGGCAGCTTGGCCGGCAGATCAGCCACTTCTTCTCGGAGAACGAGGACTTCCGCTGCATCGCCGGGATGTGTGTGGACTCCCGGGGTGACCTGATCGTGGCCGACAGCAGCCGCAAAGAAATCCTACATTTTCCCAAAGGGGGCGGCTATAACGTCTTGATCCGCGAGGGACTCACCTGCCCGGTTGGCATTGCCATCACGCCTAAGGGACAGCTCCTGGTCTTGGACTGCTGGGACCACTGCATCAAGATCTATAGTTACCACCTGAGAAGGTATTCCACACCTTAGGGGGAACGAAGGTGTGTCTCCCGCTGGCCGGATTCTTCCATCATCCAAAGCAAGGTGACTGACGTCACTGTTGTCGTTTCTTCACAGGCTGTGGTTGGACCGATGTGCCAGCTGCTGTTTGTGTACTTGACAAAAGATAGACTGCGTGCACACTTTTGCATTGTAAGTGTACGAAGGCTGCCCGAAAGAGGGAGCCGAGGTTTGCATGAAGATGGACACAGTTATAAACTAGCCAGAGATTATTAGAAATTGCTTTCAGGGGACTGAGGCGGGATGGGACATTCCAGCTGCCTGGAATCCTGTACAGAAACTGAGCATGCTACGGCCAGAAGGCCACCCTCCGCGCACTTTGCACCCAGCACAGAAACGAGACTTTTGCTGGAGACGAGCTCTTGCCCTGTTTCTCACACACTCGGCACCCTCATCACTTTGGTGGGTCCACTTGCACGGTTAGGTTCCCAGTGAGTGTTCGCCCGTCCTTGTGCCTTCACCAGTGCATGCGCCAGGAGTGATCTTTCACGGCAGTAGCTGGTAGAACTTTCCCACTATTAAATCCTTCAGAGAAAGCCACTTGCGTTGTTGTAGCAGCCCCCTCCTGGGAAACTGTGGTGATGCAACTGACGGGAAGACCAGGGGGCCCCCGCTCGGTGCGCGTGCCCCGTGTGTGAGCCAGAGATGGGTGGACTCGTCCCTTCGCGCAGCATGTCGTAGGTCTAGCACAATTCCTGACTCGAGCGGATCACCGTCTCCTAGGATTGTGCAAAAACGAGCATTTTTTTTGAAGTGCCAACATGTGGGTTGTGGGGTGGGAGAGACAACCGTTTGCAGGGGAGCATTGATTGGGCTTGTGTGTGTGTGGGGGGGGGGGTTCACGATTCTGTGTTGTCCCTTGTTTGGAAATGGCTCGGAAGGGCATATTTCTTGTTGATACTTTGCCGGGGAAGGGAGAAATTGGAGGAAACAAGATCAAATATGACAAATGCCATGTTTCACTGTGCACCTTGGATTGCCTTCCTTCCGCACCGCTGCACTGATGGGCTTCCACTCGTCTGCGCCTCACGCAAAAGTTGCTTGTGCATAAGAGGGGAAAGGGGACGTCTAATTTCATGACAGAAGGGTTTTCCGACTCCCGCCCACAGGGAAATGCTGGGCTGCCAGCAAGGCCTTACTGAAGCTAACAGGCGCCTTTGCTTGTCGACCGGAAGGCATATGGTTTGGGTCAGATGATGCATGAAACGCACAGCTGGGCAAAGAGGCACACCAAGGCTCGCCCGCATAGGGTGGGAATCCCACCCATCAAAGTGTCTGTCATGGCTCAGAGGGAAAGGAGCCAGCTTGTTAAGGGCAACCAGGACCCTGCTGCCCAGTGTTACTAGAGTGAGCAGTGTCAGCAAGTGGTGGGGACAGAAGGAGCACGGGTTCTGCGGTTGACTCGCTGGCAAATGAAATTCCGGAGTCGCAACCGCACAGGGGCCGAGAGCAATCCTGGGTTTGGGTCCCTCAAACGGGGGTGCAGGCAGCTCAGGTGTTTCCAGCACTGATTCATCTCACAGGCTCTGGATGCTGCAGGCCAAAATATCAGGAGCCCTTACTCCTGAGTTGCCCCTGTGGGGTGTGGACAGGAAGGACGCTGTTTCTTGAAGAAGCAAAATTACTGTTTAAGCCAACAGAGAGAAAACTGGCACGCGGGCCCAGGACTTGGGAACACACACAAAGAGAACTGTAGGCAGCAGGCCCAACATACACAGCAGTCAGGTGCCTACAATGATCCGAAATCTTAAGTTTACACCCAGTTTATATGCGGATCTTAAGTTTATACCGTTTTATCTGGGTGATGTAAAGGGGAGAGAGAAGAGTGCAGAGGAGGAGGGGAGTAAACTGGGTGTGTGTGACTCAGAAGACAGACACTGGCAAGTGAGGAATCTAAGTCAAGCTGCCAGATTTTTCCTTGCCGGAATGGGGGTTCGAGACTTGCTTCGGCATGAATGCAAGCCGAGTTTCTCATGCCGAATCCCACTGTGCGATCCCAGAGTCATCGATAGAGTTTATCGAGGCAGTTCCATAGGTTTCAATGGCCCCAGTGCAAGGAGTGACGCTCCCAAACACATGAGTCAAAATGCAACATGGAGGAGCAGAATTGGCTTTTCCCTTGCGGCACTCGTCTGGCAATGGGGTGGGTGCCAGCCTGAGCCGAGAAGGGCGCCTTCGACACATGGAGATATTGGAGATCACTACCTGACTAGGACTCCTTTGCTGAATTGCAAAGCTGCCGTCAGCTCCGGTCCTTTCACGTTACACAGATGCCTATGCTCTCTCTTTTCTGCATTTTGAAACGTCTGCTTTTACGAGCTGGCTGTTGCAGGCGGCTTCCACCAGACTGACACACGGAAGCAATGTATTTTTTAAAAAATAAATAAGCACTTGCCTTTATACACTGTTCCAGGGAGCATCTTTTGTAGCAGATATGCCACTACAGAGAGCGTTTTGGAAAACCATAGATTCATTTAAGTGGGCTTATAGCCCACTCTGTTCTGCTGACGGAGCACTTGATGGCCAGTCTTTTCCACCAAATAGCCACATCGCCATTTAAGCTAAGTCCCCGCCATCTGTTCCACTCCGATTGTGGGAAGGGGGGGCAAACACATCCTATTTTACACTGCGCTCCTAGCTCACAGTGGTTTGATCTTTTCTTTTTGAGGGGGGAGACTCGCTCATACTCCACAGACCTGCGCTCATCACAGATGGGGAGAAATGGGGGGGGGCATTCCTCCTTGGGTCCCCCTCCTGACAAAATCCATTCCCGGTGCTGGGCTGCCTTTTGGTGGAAAGCTGCACCCTTGGCCACCAAGTGTGGGCGAGATCCCTTTTGCAAGGCGCATGGGAAGAGCCGTTAGAATAGGTGGAAACTACAGGAGGGACTTGCAGTGAAACATTGACCCATATTCTCTCCTGTTTCTGGAAGTATTCCTGCTTAGGCCCCCTGGAATGCTGTAGGCCAGACCTCCTTAATCTGGGGACCTGCAGGTGGGCTGAGACTGCAACTCCTATCATCCCCATAAATGGGATACGTAATCTCTTCTCAGCCTGCTGCTGCTATAAAGGATGTAATCCCACTAAATTCCCTTCTGTTCATCTGCCATCAGACAGTCCACAGACCTTTTAAATTAGACATTCAGTGTTCTGCATCTCCTTGGGACAAAGGAATGTGCTCAAACTTCATCGGGCCCTTTTTGAAAAAGGCAAGCACCCTTATTTTAAGTTGCAAGCATACCCCTGTCTATCAAGACTCCAAATTGCACAGAAGCCGCTGCGATGGAGGTGGCTTAGATTTGCTTCCAAACTGATAAGGCATTCAACCACCCCGAGCATCTAGGTATGTGGATTATTAAACCGTCTCGTAGCTGCTTTGTCACTGGAACCTATAATGTGTGTTTAATGATGAGTTTGTTTCTCTGTGTGTGTCTATCAAGTTTTTAGAAGCCTACATAATAGAGGGAAAATAGAATTAAATGTATATTGCAACAACAGCGAAATTAGTCTGGTATTATTAAAAGCACTTTGTCTCCTCCACCTTCCTACCCCTTTGGTGGCTCTTCTGCTCACAAGGTGTTAGAAACAAATCATACGTGGTAGGCCAGGGGAGCAGAAGCCGTTCAAAGAGAATATAATTGCAAAGCCAGAAAACAGACACGAATTCCTGTTGCCTGCAGTGGGGGGGAACTTCATCGGGTTCAGCTCCATACTGCTCAGATAATGTTTTCTGTTTTAGTTTTCAATAACCGTTATTCTTTGCCACAAAACTCTTGGCGAGGTGCCAGGCTGGAAGAGTCTGCTCCCCACCCAGCCTCTTGGAGAACATCTGGAAAAAAAACTGTTCACACCGTTTCTTTCAGAAGGAGAACTAGCCCAGGAGCTAAACGATCTGTTTTAAAATCCTGCCAACACAGCTTGATAGGCGGGAGTTAAGCTAGAGACACGTGCCTCCTACGCACTGCATTTGATGCAAAAATTGCCCTGGTGTTTTCTGACCATGCCACAGTCTTCTGGACTCGCATGGCAAGCTTCCGAGAGCTCTGTCCTTCATGCAGCCCTCCATCTGTGGCAGCTCCCGTTTATCCTCTCAATGACCACATGAGGAGGGCTGAGCCAGCCTCGTGCCCTCTGGATCTGAGATGGTCATTCCTGAGAAAGGCATCATAGTACAGTGGTGAGAGCAGGGGACTCGGGAGATCGGGTTCGAGCCCCACTCAGCCACGGTGCCTACGGGGTGACCTTGGATCAGCCAAGGATTCTTGGCCTCACCTACTTCGCAGGCTTGTTGTGAGGATGAAATGGAGAGGAGGAAAATTAGATGAGCCACCTTGGGCTCCTGGCAAGAGGGATCAGGGCAGGTCTACATGCAAGGTAGCAATCACCTGCATGGTCCTCTGCACGCTTGCCTGAAAGCAACCTCTGCTGGTTTTAGTATGTCTGCGTAGGCGCACACAGGGCTGACCTGGAATTGCGATAAACATTATGTGTGTAGCCCACTTGTTCCCATTCAGGGAACTCAAGGGGACTGAATTCTCCTTGCCATCTTATCCCCACAACAACAACCCTGTGAGGTAGGGTGGGCTGAGAGTCCATGACCGACCAAAGGTCACCCAGGGAGCTGCATGGCTGAGCGGGGACTAGAGCCCATGCCCCCAGAGTCTCAGCCCCACACTCTGCAGCACTGCAGCACCCATGTTAGTCTGCAGCCCGGCCCTCTGCGCCCTCCTTTCTCTGCTTCCGTAAGTCAGCCTAGGCAACCTCCCTCCCTCCAGTTGCTTGGGACTATGGCTCCTAGCCGGCCAGCCGTCCGAACACCCCCTTGACACTTGGTTTTGGATATGGGGCATCCCTGTGGCTGGGTGGGGCGGGCAGGCGGGTGGGCAGTGGTCCTGTGATGTGCTACTGGTCCCAGCACCCAGATCTCTGGGCCCCTTGCTTTCCTTGTCAGCCACACAAAAGGGTGCAGCCCAGCAATTCTGGGAATGGCAGCTGGGGCAGAGAGGGCAAGAATGCTTCCGTGTGGATAAACAGCAGCGCGAGGCTATTTGGGGGCCCTGGTTCAGCACGAGGGACAGTGCCTTCGATCTTCAGACAAAAGCCTGGGACGCACAATCCATCTTGACTTATCTTGGAGCCGGAACTGAAGGTGCTTGAAGGCAGGAGGAGGGTGTGAGGCACCTGGGGACCGGTGTCTCTGAACGTTACTAGAGCCCTGCTTCCTAACCAGTCCAACTACACAAAGAAGTCCAGAAGATGGAGGTATTGATTGACGTGGAAGGTTGTGGTGAAAAATGCAAGGAAAGGAGAATGATGGGTATTGACTTGAGCTTCTGGGTGGCCAGGATGGAGAAAAGCATGAGGAACACACTTCCTGGTTTATATTCTCCACAAGCACCACCATTGTTGTGCCCATTCTCAAAAAAGAAATCCTGGTTATTGGAAAACCTGATTGTTGTGAGCAGAAATATTGCAATATTGAGCTGGTAATATTGCAAAGACAACTGCGGAGAGGTAGATCAGCATAATTTATCTTTGATGGGAATCTGAGCCAGCCTGAAGATCAGCATTCTCCTCCTGAGATATAACACTCAGCCAGTGGCACCATTTTCCATCTGAGAGAAAGACAACAGGAATGATGATGGTGGTGGTGGTGTTGGTGGTGGTGGAGATGATAAATCACGGCAATAATAATATTCAGTGCAAGTCACTGAAAAGAGCAATCCTCAATGGAGTTGCAATGCATCCTGGGTTTATGTCCAACCCTGGCTTCTGCGTGCAGAATCCAGACTCCTTATTTGCAACATCACCTTCTTCAAAGCAACAAAACAAAGCAGAAAAAGCTCCTTGGAAATTGCATGGAGTGGAAAACTAATAGCTTGGAAGAGAGATAAACACACCTCCAATAATTGTTCCCCCTCTGCAGGAGTTCGGCACCATCCAGTTGCCATTTATCATGCTTTAAGAACAAAGCAAACAGAATCAGTGTGTTGTGAGGATGTCTGGCGCAAAACAACAACTCACAGGGAAACGTGGTGGTGCAGGGAGCGAAAGGCTGTCCAGGAAAGGAGGATGGGTGAGTCTCTCACACAGCCTACAGCCACCTCTGCTTCCCTGCAAAATGCAGCCAGATCCTGAATGTGTGAAATCACAGAAAGAGGCAAGCTATGGAACTGCTGGTGGGGCAAGCACGGCAGATACTCGAGCAGAATCTGGCCAGCCGTGTGTGAAGGTTGGGATGGATGCAAGGTTCTTGCGTGGAGCAGCAGTCTGGGCTGGATGATCTGCAGGGTCTTTTCCAGCTAGGCAGTGTTGTCCTTCTGTCCCATGAGGTGTCTCAACGGGGCTTGTGGATGTGAGGAACTCCCTGTCAAGTGAGTTCCTACTGCTATGGACTATTAGAAGCAGGGGATATTCTGGTATTATACTGAGTGGGGAACCAATATGGATTCCTTGCAGTCAACAAGAGCAACTGAACATGTTGTAGAGCTTAGAGGCCAGGCCAGGTGGTGTGTAGGAAACCAAGGGCGAAATTACAGCTGGCAAAGGGATACCTGCAAGGGATTACTTCCATAGAAACATAGAAACAGAGCGAGTCAGAAGGGGTCTCCCAGGCCATCTAGTCTGACCCCCAGCTCCAGCCAGCTCCGCTCATGACGTGCCCACCATGTGGACACCCAGCCTATCCTTGAACACCCTCACCGATGGGGCCTCAACCACCTCCCACGGAAGCCCATTCCACACCCTCAGGGTCCTAACTGTCAGGAAGTACTTCCTGGCATCCAAATTGAGCCTTGGTTCCTTGAGGTTGGCTCCATACTTCCCTCTCAGGATGTCTCCTGAGACTCTTTACAAGCTTCCCAATGCTAAAATGTCCCAAATGCTTTCTTGGTGTCATGGTGGCAGCCCTCAACCTTCTCTCACCTTGCTCATTCTGGGGCCAAAGCAATGCTGCCCTAGTTTCAGTGAGCACACTCCTGCTTCTCAGTCAGCTTTGGCCCTGCCCTTTGGAAAGCCATCCTCTAACTCCCAACTTAAGATTTCCAAGCCAACATGCAGATTGTGCTAAAAACGAAGCAACCTCAGTACAGCATATGAAAACAAACCGGATAAGAACGCACAGCTGAAATCCCCATGGATGTCCACCCGTTTGCATTCAAACGCAATAAAAACAACCCAAGTGTCTTTCTGGAGGACTGTCCCCAAGTCCCCAGCAAGGAAGGAGCGAGAAGAATGGCTGCATAGAAGTTCCTGTCTATCCATCATATTTCAGGTGGCAGAAGATGAAGGAGCGTGTGCCTCTTTCTCATACACCAGACTACAGTTTTATGCCAGCAAGCCCTGCTTAAGGAGGTCTGGAAAAGCGCTTAGCATACCATCAAATTCCACCGACAGGGTTTGGGATCAATGGCATCATAACTGTTGCGGAGGGGACGTGGGGTGGAGAAACAAAACAACAAGCCAGTATCAGTCTTGTCTTTCCTTTTTTCTGGAAGAGGGAGACGAGCAATTGCTGGCAACAGCAAATCACTGAACTTTTAGAAATCTAACCTAATTGTATCCTTTCAAAGTCCCAAAGTTTATTGCCCTGTTTAATGATGTGTCTGGTTATTTATGACATTGCACAATGAGCCTGCTGCTGAATTAATATACTTCCTTAAAGACCATCATTGTCACAAACGATAAAACGGAACCATTCCCAGACAGCTCAATTATGTCACATTTATAGAATCCTACCCAAATCACCCCACGGCGATTTGGAGGGGGCTGGCAAGCAGATGACAAGGCTCGCAGCATGTTGGAGCTCAGGAAAGTGGCGGCCGCACAACCCCTGCAGGCGAAAGCAAGGCGTGCAGATGGATGGCGAGGGAGCAGGATGGAGAAAGAGAGGCGTGTGTCTGGCAGAACGAGCAGTGTCCCCGGGCAGCCGTGCTGGAAAGGGACCCCTGGCTGCATGAGAGCAGGGAAGCACAGAGCCTTCCAAAGGAAGGCCACCAGTCGAGGGGCGATGCAAGACCAGGTGTGAGAAAGCAAGGAAGCTTCTGCCCCGCTCTTGGAGCACCTTACCTTTCTGATACTGGAACCACAGTTGCTGCTGGGCCTTCTTGCTGGGGAAGCGGATGGTGCAGCTGAATTCTGACCCGTAGAGGGCTTCCGCGATGTAGTGCGAGCCGTACTGCTGGATGAAGTAGAGCAGTTCCTCACGGCTGCTGTCTTTGTTCAGGATCTTCAGGACATTGGCAAATTCTGAGAAGGTGGCAACGGAGCGGGGGTGGCAGATGAGAAGAAATCAGTCAGAGGTCATTCCTTGGAGGGGAGTCTGAATTTGGTGTCTGCCAAACAGATTTAGGGATCCCTCTGTGGAATGGATGCATGCAGCTTATGTGCTTAGGAGGACTTCTCTGATGGAGCTTTCCGGTTTGCCCGTCTGCTCACTCCGACCTCCAGAGAAAATACATGCACACATGGCTGCCACCATCCCCTCCTCCACCCACCCACCCACCCATCCACCCATCAGGCTGACAGTCCGTACAACCTGCACTTGTCAAAACAGACAACTATCACCACCCGTTCAGTGGTGATTCCCACAACATGGGACTGAGCGCCATAACTGAATCATGAGGCTGGTGGTCCCCAAGCCCATTCCAAAGAACATCATGGTGCTTCTTGGAACACTGCGCAGATGACTCCCAGCTGCAAGCCCTGCCACACCCAGGTTGCTCTCACCTGCCGAGAGGGCAATTGCGTTCAGCTTGACTTTGTACAGGTTGCTTCGAACCCTCCAGTGCTGCACCACAGGGTAGCCCATCGCTTCATCATACCGGATATCACCTGCGAAAGGAGAGTGTGGAGCTCATTGTGGGAGCTGGTGACGTCCTGCTGGCTTTCCTTGCTTGTTTGAGGCTACAGAGGGAGTGGACACCGGCTCTGCAAGCTCCTCCTCCCACAAATCCACACTGCTGGAGCTCTGAACAACGTCAGAAGCTAGGGGAGGCTGTAGGCAAGCCAGGGACAGGGCTGGATCTGCTTGTGGAGAAGAAGCAACGCTCGAAGGACCAGGAAATCAGCTGGAAGAAGTAAGTGGCAAGCACGCCAGCCACACAACCGGGCTGCAGGAGCCTGAAGCCAGTGCTGTGCATCTCCTGGGGTTCATGCAGATGTGAAAGCAGATTGTGCTCATTCTAGAGGCACACCCAGAGCAGAGGAAAGCAAGAGGGTTTGTGGACACATCTCAGAGAAGAAGACCCAAGCCAAATACACGTATCTTGAGCCAGTTCTGGATTTACAGCCCACAGGGACTTTTAGGATGGAGACCTGCATATCAGAAGTGGAATCAAGCCCTGAAACAACCAGTCCCCGCTGTTTCCAGCAGACGCTGGCTGTGTGGAGTGAGATATGGCTGGCATTTACGGCAACCACAAAGCCATTTCCCTTCCAGTTCTCCACGAGGCTGTGCAAACTTCTGATTGATGGGCTCTCCCCACACTGTATTTATATGCTCTTGTAAACCACCCAGGAACTTTGGCTCTTGGGTGCTATAGAAATAAATAATAGCTATGGGGGAACCTGTACTCAATATGTTAAACCCATATTGGAAAAAAATAAAGGAAAAAGAGATGCACGGGAGTTTCTCTGCCGCTCTTGTTACCGACATGGGAAGCTAGGTGATTATGCCTACATAGATCTCTGCACCATGTTCGGAGCATGTCTGCACACTTTCCTGCATTGGACTCCTCGTTGTCCATGCCTAACAGGTGAGTTGTCCAGCTCTGCTAGATGGAGACGAAGGCATGGCTTCTGCTGTGCCTGCCCTTGCTAGCCCCATTCTGGAAGCCTAGGTGGGACACCGCTCTCTCCAGGAGGGCAGTAGAAAAGGCAAGACTCCTACCGGTGAGCAGCTGGAGGTTGGGCAGGGGCTCGGAGAGCACGCCGCGGCACTGCTCCTCGACTGGCAAAGGAATCACCATTAGCGCGTCGGCCAGCTGGGGGAAGTCCTTGATGAAGTTATTCTCCCTGCAGAAAGAAACCAGGGGACTCAAAAGCAGTGATGCAAGCAGCCTCTGGGTGGAGGAGCTGGACTCATAGCAGGGGCAGGAAGGTAAGATTGCATGTATCGGGGGGGAGAGGGGGGAGAGAGAGAGAGCATTCTACATCTGCATGCCAGAGAGAGAAGCTCCACAGTAGCATTTCAGAGGCCCAGAGGACGGGCTGAAGGCACCAAAGGCATCCACCATGTGGAAGCTAAGCAGGTCTGGGGCTGGTCTGAACTGGGAGGGGAGATCCTGGAAACTCTATGGACCACCTTGAGTTACATAATGAACTGAAGCTGGGCAAGCTCTGGTCCATGTCTGGAAGGGATACCACCTAGCAACTCAGGCTTTGAGGTCAAAATCAGATGACGTTCATTTGGAAATAGCAGCAGCTGGAGCAAGGGAGATACCCTACTGCCTTATCTAAGACCTGACTGAGGGAACCAAGGTCACTGTCGTCAAACAATCAACCTTGAACTTCTGAGAAAACCTGAGTCAAGACTGAGAGGTCGTCCTCCCCTTTCATGTTGCAAGAAAAATGTTTGATAGCCCCTGCCTGGTATGGGAGTATCCCTGTCCAGCCTGCTCTACAACACCACTTGTCATTATTGTCATTTGTCACTGGTGTCTCCTCCCCCTCCTCCCCATTCACTACTGAACATGGTTCTCATGGGGATCAAACACAGACATTGTCCTCTGTCCCACGACTGCTCCTATAATTGCCCTCACTTTAGACGCTCCTTTTCCTGCCACCTATGCAATCTCTCCTCCTCAGTAGTGAAACTGCTCCAGAGCCTTTCTCTGCCTTTTCACTACAAGCCTGATGCCGTGTGGTTTTTCCCATTACCTTCTGGGCAAGGACCTGTATATGTCAGTGTGCTATAGAACATATTATTATTGTTATCCAATTATTTTAATTTGTTCTTTGCAATAGTTAGGCATTCTTGGGGTGATGTAAGGCATCCAAAAACACAAACAGCATGGAACAAATTAAAAACCAGAAGGAATGATGTTAAACCGCAATGCAAGGTCTACGATCCTATCAGGGAAAGATCAAACAGTACTCATCATCATCACCATCACCGTCACCATCACCATTTCTATATTGCTCATAGCCAAAGCTCTCTGGGCAGTTCACACCATTTAAGTCCCCCATCCAGATTTCAACCGGGCCTGACCCTGCTTAGCTTCCAAGATTAGGCAAGATCAGACACTTCAGGCTATATGGAAGCTACATATTATGGCAGTCCTATGAATGGCTGCACTCCAAATTGCCCTGCCCTTGACAGCCCTGCTCAGGTGTTCTCAACTTAAGGCTGTAGCTTCCTTTATGGACTTGATCCCAGGGTTAAAGTCCCCTTAAAACCTAATCTGGGAACACAAATTTGCAGGGTTTCAAAAAGCCTGTAGGAATAACAGCAAACTTTGCCTGGAAATGAAGAACTATTAAAGGGGTATCAGGTACTCCTCTCTGGAAAGGACTTTCCAGAACTGCAGGACTGGGCATGGCCGAGTCATCAGCTGCCACAGTTCAGTGTGCAAGGACCTCGATGGATGATTCAGAGACAGGGAGGGGAACGCTAGTCCTTCAAATAGTGTGCTCAAACCACCAATACTAAATGGGCTTGGAATGGATACCATCCGTTTGTAATATGGTCATAACGTCTGGTTCATTCGTTCTGGCAATACCGTTTCGTGCAGGTCAGATGTCGACAGGAAATAGTCCCATCGACAGCATAGTAGTAATAGGGTCAAAATGTCCCAGATTCATCCCAGTGCAAGCAACACCTAGAAGAGGGGTGCTTCCCAATGAATGTTTTATTCGCCCCTCATCCTGCCTCATTCGTGAAACCTCTACAGGGCATCCACACGACCATGTTTTGTTCAGAGTTCCTCCATGTTTCCCCACTACATCTTCCATCTTTTTTTTTTCTTGCCACAGCAAATGGTTAAGGAACAAAGCAAGATGGGATTGTTGCAAGACACTTTCATCTTGATAATGCTAGAAGCCCTCCATCTGGAAGCATCCCATGTCCATATGACTTTTATCTACTTGGATCATCTGGTGTGTCCTCCATGCCTTGGCGATAGTGGGGTTTTGCTACTCTGTCCAAAGTCTGCAGCTCTCACCAAACCCTTTCTATGAACAGATGCAATGATCCTCTTTCCCATGTCTATTTGCCCTTCTGATCCCTTTCTTCAGGGGCTATGTAAAAATAACTAATATGAACACCTATCAAATACAGTCCTACTGATCTGCATCTAGAAAGCCAGTCTGGACATACTGTACACTTTCATAAGGAAGGATGACTTAGAGCTTTTGCCATAATGCAGGAGAGAGCAACTCATCAGACTCCAACCTCCAACAAAAGCTGAAGTGGCAACTCGACAAAGTAAGACCAGGGCTTACTGATCGGTTCTTCTGTATAGATTGGGGTCCCGAGACCAAGACATGGGGGTCATTCTCTGGAATTTTCAGTTCAAAGGGACACAAGGAGTGGGGAAAGGGCTCCGTCAGGAAGGCCAGTGCCAAGACAGAGAGATGGATCAATGGCTACCGGTGAGCCATAATGACATCAAAGGTCCCAAGGGTTATAACCATACACCTTGCTCTGAAAGGAAAGAACAGCTCAGATGGTGGAGAAATTTCAGCTGGAAAACACATTGCAGGGGGAAGAGTCTACATTCCTCTCCTGCAGAGCCGCAGCACAAGTGGATTCTGCTCTCTGGTCAATGTTGCTATTTGATTCTAACAAGCAAAGGCAGGCCTAAGATCAGCACCTTTGGAGGAAGGGAGAGGAGATCCACCATCTGGGGTGCTCCTAGACTTGTCCTCAATATAGAATCATAGCATAGCAGAGTTGGGAGGGGCCATGAAGGCCACTGAGTCCAACCCCTGCTGTTGCAATTTACACCATCACACTCAGATGACTGCCCAGCTTCTTCTTGAATGTCTCCAGTGTGGGAGAGCCCACCGCCTCTCCAGGCAGCTGGTCCCACTGTCGTATTGCTCTGACCGTGAGGAAGCTTTTCCTGATGCCCAGCCTGAAACTGGGTTGTCACAACTTGACTTGATTATTCCATGTCCTGCACTCTGGTATCAGCGAGAAGAGATCTTGACCTTCCTCTTTGACATGGGTTGTCTCTGGGTAGGGTTTTTTTTTTTTTGTGATGGTGATGCAAAGCCTTGTGATGTCTAGGCTGGATTACTGGAATTCTATTCAAAGGTCTTTGGAAGCCTCCACTGGTCCAGCTGGCAGCAAAGGTGGTGACTGTCCTGCTTTTGCAGCTATCCCACAGTGCCTGCACTGTTTCCTAGTCAGTTGCTCCTGTTCAAAGTGTCAGACTTCATCTTTCATGCCTGAAATGCCTTGGGCTAAGAATACCTGCCAATCAGGAATTTCATACCATCCTTCCCACTTATTACAATCAAGCAGGGAGGCCTTTCTCTGCGCCCCACCTGTAGCATAAGAAAGATTGAATGGGGCAGGAGGTACAACATTTTCAATGGCCCCACCATGCACTGTCAAACATCCGGCCTAATTTAGCTTGAATGTCCTCAGTTTCGATGACTTTCTTCCACCTTTCTTCTGGCAGGCTCAGCTGGTTTCCATGGAGAATTGTGCTTTATCTGCTCTTGTTGTGTCTTGCGGATCTGTCGTGTTGCTCCCATGTTGTGCTTTAAATTGGTGCAACCCACTTGGAGGATCAGGCAAGCGTCCATTCTGCGATCACAGAACAAGGGTACCAGAACAGGGCCACTTTTTCTGTGAAGCGGCACTTCCTGTGATCAACGTGTGCTCAAAATAAGAAGGCTGGAGTGGTGACAGTTGGCCATAGCGGTGAAGCCCCTCAGTAAATAGCTTTCTGTGCAGAATGACGGCTCCAACCTCCATGGAAAGCTGACTCTGCAGCAGAAAGTGTCGAGCAGACGGTGGTGGTGCCAGGAGAGAGTCATGCCACTGACTGATGCTGTTGCAAAGTATATGCTGGATGTGGATTCCAGATAAATCCATCAGGAAAGAAATTATGCACTGCCAGTTCTCTGATACAGTAGGTGAGGGGAAGCAAAAGCAGCAGGGTGGGAGGAATTAGACTGCCTTTCTCATGGTGGCCCTGGGATGCCACAACCATGCAGCAAATTGCTCTGCCCGCATCACAGACCCGGGAGAAGGACCTGCACAGGCGGAAGTTTCTTGGTCAAAAAGGGCAAGTTTCAGATACATGTGAGATGCACATTCAGATCCCCTGAGGAGTGCAGGAGAAGAAAAGGAAGCCATACCGGACAAACAACGAGCTCCAATTTCCATGCGTTTTCCCCCTGGAAGGATGATGGAACCAAAACCTCTGGATCCCCGTGAGTGAAAACCACATAATTGCAAAATGGAACTAATGCAGAGGCTGATGCATGAGGCAAAGAAGGAACAAGAACTTATGGGAGGGAAAAACCAAACCAAAGTCATACTCTAATTTTTTGGACTACCCCTCTATTGCACATTTACACATATCGATCAGAATGTGAACAGGCAGGTTGCCCTATTCCGTTAGTCCATCGAACCCCGTATGTCTTGACTGATTGTCAGTGGTGGTCTTTTGCTAGACTATTCCGCCCCTGAGCTATGGATCCCCCCAAAATGAAGCACTTTTAAGGCTGCACATATGAAGTCAGTGGCAAATGTTCTCATCTACCTCCAGGAAACCACTCTGCTGTGGGGAAAACCATGGCTAGCTCTTGCCCATGTAATGGCAACTCAGCAGCTGAGTTTCCTCAAGTTTTTAAAGAAAACAGAGCAGGGGGTTGCTTAGCAAGTTATGGGAAGCAGAGGAACAAGGCTGCTGGCCAACACTTCCTATCTTCCCTGCCTTCTTCTACCTTCTAGCCTCAGGGGCTGGTGGGGAGATACTAGACTTGTCAGAGAAGGACAAAGATGCAGTTAGATCTTGGAGCCAGCAGAGGGCTGTACATGCCTTCGAACGACACAC